TAGATAGATAGATAGATAGATAGATAGATAGATAGATAGATAGATAGAGATACAGATGTACAGATTCACACACACACACACACACCAAACTATTCTAAAAATACGAGTTCCAGGTATACTTGTAAAAGAAGAAACAGACATCCTGCGATCTCCGGAACTTAAAATTTACATTTATTGTAATTTTATTGTACATTTATTGTACTTACTAAGCTTTCCTCAGCCTCTGCTGACGTCATCAGAGTATTAAGCTACCATAACAAAGATCCCTGCCTTTTAATGATATATAAAGGCAGAGATCTCTATAACAGTAGCTTAATACTTGGACGATGTCAGCAGGCGTCATAACTTAGAATGAAAAATCAGGCTCCCTTATGGTCGTAAATCAAGGACTATCTGTGCACATGATTGCACCGAGCAGATATTACAGGAACGGACAAACAAACCCACAGCTTGCAACAAGAGTCTAACAGTGAGATGCAAATGGACTTTTTCCATTTATTCTTTTTGGTAAATTTATTATACATCCCTATTATCAATCAAAAACGCTTTTTTCCCTCCCAAGAAATTCAAAGAACATTGTGTTGTCTGTTTTCGCACAGGAATTACGCCCACACACATATCAAACTGACAAGATAAATAAAAAACAAACCACACATACATACCATGACAATTTCCTCTACTTTGGACTTGATGTGGAACCGAGCATCCAGTAAAAGAAACTCACGTGTCCCTAAGAAATTAGTGATGCTTTCTGGAAAAAATAAAACATAAATGGATAAATCCATAAATGGAACTGGGAGAATAGTTACAAACAAACAACACCAATAAACTTCCAATGGTTTCTTAGAAAAGGATATTTGCTGCTGTTGGGAGGCGAACCAGCATTGGCTTTTATTTAAATTTTATTTAAGTTTATGGTATGGATAGGATAATGGGGTAGTTCACCACCTATTTTGGCCTGCAATTTCACCAGCCCTTCTGCAAACTAACTGCAGCTAGTAGGCCTTGAAATCAAATTTATGGAGGAATTCATGCAAAAGAAACTTGGCCTGGAAGAACGAGCTAAGCTTACACAAAATGCAGGAATAAACTACAGGTTTACCTCAACTTACACCTGTTCATTTAATGACAGTTTTAAGTTACAATGGTACTGGAAAAGAAAGTGATTTTTGACAATTTTTCACACTTACGACGGTCGCAGCATCCCTATGGTCACGTGATCAAAATTTGGGCACTGGAAACTGGCATGTCTTTATGACGGTTGCAATGTCCTGGATCCATTTGTAACCTTCCTAACTGGCTTCCGACAAGCGAAGTCATTGTGGACGATCCAGATTCGCTTAATCATCATCCTTTTTTAATGACCCCATGTGGAGTCTGGGCAACCGAATGGAGCTGAGTGTTTACTGGCCAGATGCCTTTCCTGTCGCCAATACAGAGTTTTTTTCTCCAGCAGATATCTTTCTCAGTGTGCCCAGAGAGAGAAACATCTGCCTCTACCTAGGATTGAACCCACAACCTCCTGATTGTGAGGTGAGAGCTTCACCTTTAGGCCACCACACCACTCATCCAGATTCGCTTAATGACTGCAGAGATTCATCGAATAAGTGTGGCAAAAAAAGGTCTTAAAATGGGGCAAAATTTACTTAACAACTTCTTTGCTGAGCAATGGAAATTTTAGGTTCAGTTGTGGTTGTAAGTCAAGAACTGCCTCTATAGTGAAACCCAAAATCCTCAGATGGGCTCAGTATGGATTACAGGATCCACCTTCTTAATTCTCATACGAAGGTAAGCTAGTACATTGCTTTAACTGCGGTGGATTAAATCAAGTGGCCAGTCACATCAATCTTCTCTATGGTATATTTACGTATTCCCTCACTCTTTTCCTAATTGCCATTTTATTTTATTTTAATTGCTAAACCACTCGTACCAGACGTCCCAGGCCCTATAGTAAATGGAATCTTCTCTGTCTTTTGTTTTCATCGTTAGGCGGTCCATCTCTTATAACCATGCCTTCTGGTGGAACCCTTTTTTCTTTCCAGAGTTGCGCGTGGGAAATCCTTGCAGCTGTTAATATGTGTCACGTGACATATCTATCTTATTGCATTTTTGTGTTATTATACCTAATAAAAAAGTTTCCGGATTAAGTTCAATTTTCTGATTCGTGATTTCTTCTAGCCATTGTCTAATTGTATCCCAATATTTGACGTGTAAGGATAAATATATATTGATTTATAGCAAGAATAAGATGTAATGGTAAAGGAATAAGTAAATACATATACTGAAAAATGTAAGGAGATGCAAAAGATGTCTTGATGTTGTCAACAATGTATAAAGTTTTATTTTATGTTGTTAAAATTTGAAAACTTAATACAAATTATTAAAATAAATAAATAAATCAAGTGGCCAGGTTTACAGGTAGCCATAGAACATGAGCCATTGTTTATAGCTAAAACCAAAAATGGGACAATGGGCTAGGCAACTACCCTCTTCTTCTTTCGGTAGAAGTTTTGCTTATTACAATTATCTGAGTTCTGCCCAGCCCCAAAAGTCAACCTATAACCAAGACCTGGCATAGAAAAGCAATTTAAAGAAAGAAAACCAACCAAATGCCCCAAACACTACCAGCTTTTGGAAGAAGGTCAGAATAAAATGATTTGGATGACCTTGTGGAAGGTCAATCGTGAGGGTGGGTCAGGTGTATCTCCAGGATAAGGGAGTGTAGAGCATTAGGGCTACTATGAAAAAAAAAACGTATCTCTAGGTCCTAAATTTGGAGGGAAGGTGTTGTTGAAACCCTAAACAGCACCTTTCTCCCTCATCTCACAAAAGTGGAAGAATTATTCCAAAGGAAACAATCCGGCAGCCATGGAAAGCTGGCCAACACTTCAAAGATAAATTCATGTGGAATTGGGACTTTATTTTTAAATCTATACCGCCCCTCCCCCCCCAAAAAAACATTTGTCAGTGTTTGGGGGGGGAAAAAAAGAGGAACATTGCACCATTGAGAAAGATGTCCGCTTTGCATTGAGCTCAGAAAGGGGGCAAGGAAACTCTGCCTTCCAGCTGCCGCTGCTGCCGCATCTTGTCCACCTGACACTCCCAAATGGCCTTCAAAGTTAGGTCAGATACATCATGCGGCAGCAGCCCAATTACGCAGTCATGAAGGTGTGGAGCCACCGTTCTTTTAGAGGAAGAATAAGGTTTGTCTTCAGAGGGTGTGGTTGCTCCATCACTGCAGGCTTTTAAGAAGGGACTAGACCGGGGTGGGATTCTACCAGTTCGCACCTATTTGCTAGAACCGGTTGTTAACATTCTAAGCAGTTCGGAGAACTGGTTGTTAGAAGAAATTACTGGCCTAATCCTGTAAGGAAGGCAGGAAGGAAACATTCTGGTGTTGCTTACAGAAACTGCCCCTCCATTAACCCTTATTAGATTCTTGGCAGGACTAGACTTCTTGTCTCTGGAACATCTCTGGAGTTTTCTTTTCCCCCTCCTTTGCTGGTACTTTGCTTGTGTGGAGTGACCACTCAAAGTTACAATGGCATTGAAAAAAGTGACTTATGAGCATTTTTCACACTTATGACTGTTGCAGCATCTCCACAGTCATGAGAGACCAGGCGAGGAGATGCGTGTTTCGATGTGAGTGATATTGAGTTGGCCACGCCCAGCCAATAAAATGACCACCAAGCCATGTCCACCCAGTCACATGACCACCAAGCCACGCCCACCACCTAAGCCATGCTCACAGAACCGTTTGTTAAAAAAATTTGAATCCCACCCCTGGACTAGACAGCCACTTGTCTGAAATGGTATAGGGCAGTGATGCCGAACCTTTTTTGTTGTGGTGTGCTGAAAGTGCCCGTGCCGGCACCCACAATGCAATGCGCCCCATTCCCCCTGCACATGTGCGTGCAATACCCCTTGCCCCCTTAACTGCACTGCACATGCGTGTGCCTCCCAGCTGATTTTCGGCCCATTTGAAGCCGTTTTCACCCTCCTGGAGGCTCGTGGGAAGTTTCTGCAGTCTCGGAAGGCCGAAAAACAGGCCTTCCGGAAATACCGGAAGTGCCCGTTTTCAGCCTCCAGAGGGCCTATGGAGCCCAGGGGAGGCCATTTTCGCCTCCTGGAGGCTCGAGGAAAGCAGCCTAGGGAGGCTGAAAACGGGCCCATTTCGGCACTTCCGGTATTTCTTAGAAGGCCAGTTTTTCGGCCTCCCGAGGCTGTAGAGGCTTCCCTCGAGCCTCTGGGAGGGTAAAAATGGCCTCAAACAGGCCAAAAAACAGCTGGGAGGCATGCGCACGCGCAGTGCAGGTCAATTTGGCTGGGAAACATGTGCCATAGGTTCGCCATCATGGGTTTTTGAGCAGGGGTTTGGACTTGAAAACCTCCGAAGTGCCTTCCAATTCTATTGCTCTGTATTCTGAATAAATCTGTGGTTTAACTGTGCCCAGCCTGAAAAGTTCAAGATCCGAAATTTGCCTTTGTTGTTTTAGGTGTGACTTATCAGGTTGTACGGTTTAGGTCATTCAGAAAGTTCAGGATACGCTGATACGGCGTGGGTGCTGCAAATTTGGGAACCAAGTTAAATGCATTTTGCAAGACCAGCCCAAATCCTGTTTATCTGCTGCTCATATCTTGATAACAGCAGTGATGGGAAGAGATAAAATTCATTCTTGCAAATCTTCAGGCTGGTGTAATTTGCATTCAGACAAATACATGTGCAAAATTTAAATTATTTTTTTTTTTAAAAAAGAGCAGCGTGTGTTTAATTTTGGTCTACAAATCTGGAGCTATCGTCTTTCCCTTCTGTTAGCCCATGACATTGTTGGAAAACATAAATAAGAATCCTGCGACTTTTGCCCTGATCTAGTGAGTGTTTCTCATTTTTTGAAACATATTGATTTATTCAGTTTGTGCATTGCCTGATTCTCAAATAGCTCTGGATGGTTCACAAGAAAACATAAAGCAGTAGAGCAATAAAAAAGACACAAGGATGGCACAACCAGCAGCAATCAAAACACACCCAGGCCTTCAAAAGGATTATACCCATCCTATCCAAAGGTCCGCTTAAACCGCTCTAAGGTAGGCCTCACCTGAATAGGAGCTCCTAGACTTTCCAGAGCCACCAGGACATTGTGGGTCTTCATTGAAGCATAAGATATAAAAAGCTGCTGCAAACTGAGAATGTAATTTGCTATATCCTGTTTTGCTTTGTTTTATGCAAGTGAACATTAACCATTGTCAATCAAAGGGAATTGGCACACTACTCACAATTTCTTTTTCCACTCCCGCAAGTTGTAAATTTGATAACCATCAGGTGTTATACTACAGCAGAAGATTTTCTATGGGAGAGAGATTGCACTGGGATCTTAAAATACCTTTTGTGATGATGGAATTGGGTCTTAAATCTTTTGTAGCCCCTCTATTTTGAGTTTCTCTAGGAGCTGTTGAAGGCTGAAGGCCAAGTGCCTAGGACATATTTATTTATTGAATTTATATTGCTGCCTCTTCACCCAGGGCGACTTGAGGCGGCTTACAGGATGTAAAACCATGTTTAAAATTTAAAAAAACAACACAATAAAAAGTAACAAAAAGAATCAAATAAATTAAAGTACAATAGAACAAAATCCGGGGAAAAATAAATAAAAAAATCACCCCCCAACTCCCACACCCCGCTCCGACGACAGCAGATCACATGAACCATTTGATGGGCTCCATCCCACTCTGGGTTACCCAGACCCGCTGGTAGAACCAGGTCTTCAGCGCTTTCCAAAAGAGTATTAGAGAGGGGCCTATTCTAATCTCTGGGGAGGTGGGGGGGTGAGGTTCCAGAGACAGGGAGCCACCACGGAGAAGGCCCTTCTTCTGGGTCCCACCAGGTGTATCCCCCTCAGGGATGGGACCCGCAGCATTCCCTGCCTCCCTGCACTGATGGGTCGGGTAGATGTGATCGGCAAGAGACGGTCCCTCAGACCCCTGGTCCCAAGCCATGAAGGGCTTTAAACTGTTGGTCGAGGAAAGGAAGTAACTGGTGCACAACCCTCAGTTGAGCAAAGACCCTCCTGGCCACGACTGCCACCTGCTCTTTGAGAAGCAGAAATACGACTTCAGCAACAGAGCGGTCAATGTTTGGAATACTCTACCTGACTCTGTGGTTTCTTCCCCAAACTCCAAAAACTTTAACCTTAGACTGTCTACCGTTGACCTCATCCCTTTCCTAAGAGGTCTGTAGGGGGCATGCATAAGCGCACCAACGTGCCTACCTTCCCTGTCCTATTGTTTCTTATTTATTTTTCTTATATGTATCCATTTCATGTAGCCGTAACTGTTTATACTTGTACTTGTTATCTTATAATTGCTTGACAAAATAAACAAAAAACAAACAAACAAAGAAAACCCCTAGATTACGCACAGGTTCTGTTTGGGGGTAGTGTCACCCCATCCAAGACCAAAGGTGGCAATTCTGCCTGAGCCAACAAACTCCAAACCCAGAGCCACTCACATATAAGAGACAGAGGTAGAAATCTGCGTTGCCTGGAGTCAGGCTGCAAAATTCCAGATGACCACTAGCTAGCAGCAGAGTTGGAATTATTTCTTTAGTGTCATCTAGTGATCATCTGAATTTTTGGCAGCCTTGAACTAATAGCCTTCGTATTATCTAGTACAGTGGTCGCCAACCGGTGGGCCGGGGAGAAAATTTTGGTGGTCCGCAGAGAAATGTCCCCCTCAAAGCACTCCCCCCCAAAGCAATTAATCCAGGCTGCACGGGAATACAAGGCTGCACCGCCCACATGGCACCCCAACCTGCTGGCCCCCACCCTTCGGCCGAGCACAAAGCTTACCTTGAGTAGAGCCACTGGAAGATAAGGCCAACAGGGGGGAGGGAAATCTGCCCCAGGGTGGCTTGCTGACATTGGTGGGAAAGTTGGTGCCATATTGCAGAGCTGCAGTAGTCACAAGACTGGCCCTTTGGTCATCCCGGAGTAGCTCTTCCAGGCCATGGCAGGTCAGTGCACCTGGGTGGAGGAGCAGCTGCTCTGGGATGACCAAAGGGCCAGTCCTGTGACTACTGCAGCTCTGCAATATGGCACCGACTTTCCCACCAACGTCAGCAAGCCACCGTCAGTCAAAATTCATATTAGTGGTCCGCAGGATTTTAAAATTATGAGCTTGGTGGACCCTGAGATCAAAAAGGTTGGTGACCCGTGATCTACCAGTTCATTTACATTTTATGGGGAGTACCTAACTAGCTATATCTACAGAATTAGTTATTAGCCGTAGAAGGAATATAAGAGAAACCAACATCAGCATTTCTGAACGTTAGAAATTGACTCTTGGACTACTTTGATTAACTGGAAAGAAATTGCTCATCTTCCTTCTCTCTCTCACACACACAAGCACACTTCTTAATAAACAAGCCCATCAAATAGGTCAAAGCTAAGTCCCAAATCCCCATTTAGGAGGAATCAATCAAACAGGGACCACCAGAAAGATAGAGGGAAGTTTTCCTTGGCAACCTGACTAGCATCCTGAAGACGAGTAATCGTAGCAATCTCCTGGCCTTCTTTGCTCAGGCTGAGTAGGACAAAGAAAACATGACTTTGCTTACCGTGCAGTTCTGCAGATCCCTCTTTGAAGGAGGCAGCCATCTTCTGACCTTTTGCAGAGACCTACTTGGAAGGAAGTGGTGTTTCCGTCAGGCTTAGGCACAGCAGGTTACCAGGGCACGAGATGACAGTTTGTGTTGCCTACCTCCTTTTTTGCTTCTTCCTGCCCTCACCTTGAACTGGCTCTTCCTGTCTTCCAGAACTTCGACTTAAAGTAAGCCCTGAGCAGGGAAGCAGACACCACAGGTGCATTTTGCATGAGCAAGTAAGGAGAGCAGAGCCCCACAGATGGGAATCTATTTGTCCTCCTACACACTGCATGTAAAGTCAAAAGCTCACTGCATTAAGATCAATGACTAATTAAGCAGCTTGTTGGATAAATGAAAGAGAGGACTTGTGAAGCACCACATCTCTCTTGCCTAACAGCAACCTGAACCTTGCCTTCTACTATTATTCACCCAACTGCTGAAGGCTTCAAGAGCAATTAATGGGGGAAGAGCAATGGCTCTCCAGAAATTGCTGAACTACAAGTCCCAGCATCCTTCATTACTGAGGGGAGTTGCTGAGGTAATTCAACAGCCTTCTGGAAAGCCAGAAATTTGCCCTTGTAATATTAGCCAAATTCACAACAAAGACTACCAGTTATGGAAAAAAAAACATATGATCCTCTCTTGGACAGGAATGCTTCATTTTAGGGATTCAGGAGCTAATTACACCATGACCTGGGATATAAACTAAGTTAAAACAGATTGGAATCCACAAATCCAGTAAACTACCAATGATTTTATTTTGACTCCGCTAACAACCAAAGCAAGTTCCATGTCCTTATGAAAACTGGAGTTCACCATGAACTCGATCAAGGGTCTTCAAACTTGGCATGTTTAAGACTTGTGGACTTCAACTCCCAGGATTCATGAGCTAACATGAATGGAGGAGGAATTCTGGGAGTTGAAGTCCACAAGTCTTAAAGCTGTCAAGTTGGAAGACCCCTGAACTAGATAGTTTTGCTGGTATGGACTGTTTAATTCTCAAAAATCATACCTGGATTCAGAGTCTTTAATGCTAAAAATATTTTCAACCATGGGTTCTGGTTGGTGGGTTTCTGAATTACTGACAAAGCAGTTTCAATCCTTTTTAAGTTTGAGGCTTCCTAGTTCTGCTTGGAGAGGTTAATAAATAAGACAAACTTTCATCCTCCCTATTTTTTTTTGTTGGGGGGGAGGAGGTTCTGATACTCCATTTCTGGAGAATATTTTGGATGTTGATCTGTTAGCAACTGGCTACTTGCTTCTACAAGGGTAGTCACAGTTCTAGAAAAGCTCTAGGAACAATACAGGAAAGCAATTAATTCGTGACTGTTTAATAAACTTCCTACAAATACACAATTTGTTTTAATTTCATTCAACTCTGCAGAGTCCATGGCACCACCTTTTAAAGGATAGAGGAATCAGAGTAACTTCAGAGGAAACTTACTAAGATGAAAGGGTTCTGGTAATAAAGCTGTATGAATAATGGCTGAAGAAACGACGACCCCTTTAAGTTGGAAAAGAGCAAAAGTGTTGTACAAGTCTATAATTTTCTAAAAGATGATTGGCATACAAGTGGCCCAACAGCCACTCAACTGAAGCCAAAGGCAGGATAGATTTGTGTAAATTTAAAAGAAATGATATTCAGACTGAAAACCAAATAATTTGTTGATGGTAAATGTTCTTTCAAGCAGTGGAACAGTCTGTTAAGACAGTGAACTCCCTTTTGCTGGAAATTTTCAGCAAAATGCTCTTAAGATAAATTCCTCTCCTGAACCTTATGTTGAATTAAATCAGGGATGTCCAACCTTGGCAATTGTTAAGACTTGTGGACTTCAACAGCATGACTGGTTAGGAAATTCTGGGGGTTGAAGCCCACAAGTTTAAAAGTTGCCATGTTTGGGTATCTGTGGACTAATCCAGAAGAGAACTTTCAACTAGTATATTCTATGAATCTAATTAATGTTACCTCGCTTTAGTTATACAAGAACCACGAAATACGCTAGAATGGAAAAAAAATACATTCTATTTTTTGATCTGATTGAGCAAGATTATTTTTCATGCTTATAATACCCAGCGTAGCAATATATGCGTAGAAACGAAAAACTTGCCTTTGAAATTCAAAACAGGAAATCACAACAGGCTTATTGAAAAAATTGCTGAGCCCCAGTATGTGGGTGATATGTGGAATGTTTAATTTGCTAAGTTGCAAACTGCACACAACCAGTGAAGAGATTGTGAATTTTAATACATCACTCAAGTCTTTTAACATTTAGCATTGGTCTACACGGAGTCAGGGAGAAAGCTCTGAAGTTTTCTCATAATCTCAGAACATTGTGGGCTCAAATATATTAAGCTCTGAGAAGTTTCTTCTCGTGCCATTTCCGTCATCGGATGTTAACGATCTTATTTTTAACAGCCACATGAAAAAGTGCTGCTGAGTTTTGTCCAAACCAGTTCCTTAGATTTGAAGCCATGATGTTCTTCTTCTGTCTGGACTTGGTTTGCCTTCAATCTTTCCCTTGGGGGTTAAGTAAAGCATGCTGTATTTTTCCGGGTGTCGCATCACATGTCCAAAATATTCTAACGTTCACTTTTTAATGGTTTGGGGGATTTCCCTTGGCTTTCCCAGGCAGCTTATCACCTCTTCATTTTTGATTTTGTCAACCCAGTTTATATGCAATAGCCACCTGTAAATCCACATTTCAAAGGCTTCTAGTCTCTTCAGGGGTGGTTCTGTCAGAAACCAACTTTCCACTCTGTAGAGGATAGAAAAGATGGAACATTTGACAATCCTTTCAGTCTTAGGCTTAGGTCGTGACTGCAGAAGACCTTTTTCATTTTGAAGAATGCTGTTTTGAGCTTTCTCTATCCTTGTCTTTACTTCAGCGGTCATGTCCCAGCTTTCTTGTAAATTAGAACCCAGCGACACGATCCTTTCGACTTTTTCTAGTGGTATTCTGAAAAGTTTAACCACTCTTATTGAATTAACTATAATGGCTGGGGTTCACATGATCGACTAATGTGAAGGAGAGGATTAAGATTATTGTCAAGCTCCATCTTCCATTACTGAATAATTGCAAAACTCTGCAACAATATGATTCATAGAAACAAATAACAAGCTGTCCCGAGAGCATATTAATTTTGTTACTAATAAATTAACAAATGCTATCTTAAATTTGCGCAAAAATGTCTAAGCCTAGAGTTCTGTTTGATTTTTAATACAGAAGCATAAAAACGCAACCTCTTTTGAATTAGGAATATTAAAAAGCACAGAGGGAATAAAATCTGTGGAACATATTTATTCTACTTTTGCAAGGCTCAGATTTAAGACTTCGACCTCTTTAGAAAACAGTGTTAATTAAATGTCAATGGTCCAGAATATTATAGTAATATATCTAAGTGCAAAGTGCATGAAAAGATACATGCTCGGCAATACGAGACAAGACAGAAAGACCTGCACACGGATTAGAGAACAAATGAAAGTATATGATACCATCAAGAGTAAAAGAACTGAAATGGAAATGGGCTGGTTACATAGCAAGAAGGACCGATGGTAGGTGGACCATCACAGAATGGATCGCACTTGATTAAAAAGTTTCCACAAGACCTAAAACAAGAAACGACATCAGGAAGCATTGTGGGCCCAATTGGCAAAAGGAAGCTTGGTTGGAAACATGTCGAAGAGACCTTCATTCTGCAGTGGATAATGGCTAAAATGATGATGGTACAGTATCCCAGTTTTCATCCTATTCTACACCTCCAGCTTCTCCTAAATAAAACGATCAAAGCAATTCAGAAAAATCCCAACACTGATTAGGCTTTGCAATGTTCACAACAGATCTTCTGGATTTCTTCCAACCACCACGTTCAAAGAATAAACAACTCAGTTCTTCCAGACAGCAAAAAAATAAAAAATAAAAAAAAATGGAAACTTGCAGCACTCTTGGGAAATGACCTTTTCTTAAAATAGGCCGTCTATTAACACAGGGACCTCCAGGCTTCTCAACTTTAAGACTTGTGGACTTCAACTCCTAAAATTCCTCAGCCAGCTGTACTGGGAGTTGAAGTCCATAAGTCTTAAAAATTGCCAAGCTGGGAGACCTCTGTATTAACACATGTCCAGTGCAACTCAAGTAAGGAAATCCTGAAAGCAGTTTTAAGTGAAGAAGCTGTACAGCAGACAAGCTTCAGTTGCATAGAAATTGCAACTGGATTTTTGTGAAGGACAGCAAGGTTTTGAGGAAGTATAATCGCCCCAAAGCAAAGTCTGCGTGTATATGGGCATCCCAAAAAGTGCACACAAAGCCTTATGAGATTTCCAGAAGTCTACTATACTTTTATTATTTTGCAAGGTTTTGGCACGTTCAAGCAAGTTTTGGGTAAGAATGAAAGAGTATCTCAAGGTTTTGTCAATGTTTAAACTATTTTTTGAATGGGGATTCGCATGTATTATCCAAGGGCGTTTGCAGGTTCAATGGCCCTCTCTGATATTTTATGGCTGATCCCTACATATTAAGATATTTTATTTTCTTATAAAAACTATAGGCTGAATTACATTTTGGCATGGATATCATGCAATCATGGAACACTGCTAGAAACTAGAAATGCACAGCTCTTATTCACATCACGGTATATACAAAGCTGCCCTAAAGGCATAAGCAACTGCCAACAAATTGAGATGTATAAAAAATGAGTGTTTAATAGGAAAAACCTTCCCCTCCCTACCCCAAATAAAATAAGATGTGGCACCCCATGTTTACTAAAATTGACCCCCTCCTCCAATGAGGAGTGCTCCAAAAACTAGAAAACACACAAACTCACACACACAGAGGATAATCATTGTTATTTATTAGCTGTACAGCAGTATATTCTCCTTCCCATAGTCCAAACCCCATTATACGTTTTATGATGTTTTGTTTCATGTTGGTTTCCTAAAATAATGAAAAATATCACACAGTACAGCTAAGTACAAAAATGCATCAACCTAGAATTGGATAGCTAACCTGATAGCTCTCTTAAAAGCGATACATAGAACAAAAGTTCTTGGTTCTGAAATCAGCAAGACTGAGGCTCTATAAAAAGCTTACGCATTTTTAACATGTGATGGTCTGATATACAGGCATCCTTTCTTTAAAAAAAATTTCACATTATTCTTTATTTTATTTTTTAAATTTTAATTAAACCCCAAATTTTATGATCACTGACCTAGTAAAATTTCCTGCCCTAGGTT